GTAATGTACAGCTTTTTAATAATGATATTAACAATTTATTGCCTTACATATAAATACACACCTATTAACAAGATAAAATAAAATAATTTGAACTGTGAGAATAAATAAATAAATAAATAAATAAATAAATAAATAAATAAATAAATAAATAAATAAATAAATAAATAAATAAATAAATAAATAAATAAATAAATAAATAAATAAATAAATAAATAAATAAATAAATGGCTTAGCTAAAGAAAAGCTGGTCATCACACATCTGTTAGTACACACACAACTCTTGTCTATGAATATAATCCTTAAAGTTTGTTGGATGCTCAGATTTCTGTTTCACTTTCTGAGTCATCACTCCAAGGTAGTTCAGAACTTGAATCATCAGCATCATCATACTCTGTCGCTACATCTTGTTGGTCACTCTGACGATCTTCCACATTGTCATCCATTCGTTCAACTGCCTTGAAAAGATCATGTGGGATGGCAGGTCCTGAGAACCAGTCAGGGGCATAATATCCATTCTTGTCCTTCCACCCATACCTAAGAGGGCCCAAACCATGTCCTGGATATGGTGAATCAGCATTTCCCCACAGAATGCTAATGAAGTGGGCCCGTTGTAATTTGTTGTGCACAGTCTTTGCACAGGGTGGCAGGAGAGCGCAGTCAACCTTCTTCACATTGGTCATTGAGGTCATATCGCTACTAGGCAGTTATAACAGTACTTTCCCGTGAACGAAATATGAATCAACCCAAAGCTACAAGCATGCATGGCAAGACATTGTGTGCACCACGGTGAGTGCAATTAGACATTTTAGCACACATTTTTATGTCCTGATTGGCTATTAGATCTTGATAGTTTATGAGTATTCATCATCACTCTTACTTGTTCATGTATAATGTCCCCATCTATTAAATTGGTGCTGGAAGAGGTTACATTTTCAAAACATGTTTTGATTAGCACATCTGCATAAGTGTATGTGGTTATGTTGATTGACCCCACCCAGTCAACAATATAAAATAGCCCACATCCCAAAGATACCAGTTACCTGATTCTTGTTTCCGGTCATCTGA